TGGCTACGGCGATCCGGGAGACTTTCCTTGTCAGTCGAAAAAGATAGCATGGCAGTTTAAGCCCCTCTTGGTAATGGTAAACGGTAGCCGATGAGTTCGGTACAGTTCAATTTGCAGTATTATAAAATAGAAAGAAGAACAACCGTAGAATTGAAACAACCTTAGAGTGGAGAGTTTCTCGAAGCTTACGCGAAAAACGGAAGCATTCTATTGGTACATCATCATTTCACAACAAATATGAAAAGAAGTATAGTTTATGAGAGCGTGGGGCAATGCCTCAATAGATACTTACGACCTGTTTAGAGCTCCTGTGATGATTTGTAGTTTTAGAAAAGATGGGCCATAAAGCACACTAATCAAACATGCTATCATAATCCAGAAACCGCCTGCTCGCCGCTTATCATTTGGTATCGGCCAAACTGCTTCCGATGAGCCAAGCGCAGCGCTTTCGTGAGTGAGACTTTGTCCTGTTTTCCTTCGTTCTTTCCTGAAAATGACATTTTTCAGCCTTATTTCATCCATTTTCTCGACGTCTTCATTTACTGGTACTATGCATGTTCGGTGTGTTCAACTCCACGTACATGAACGTGAATTTGGCGATCACAATGACGTGCATGGTGAATTCGACGGCCGTCTCGATGGAAAAAGATGAGATCACTGGACCTCGGCAGAACATTTCTATGTGGACTGATGATGTCGATTCGTTGACTGACACCTGTTCATCGAACGAAAATGGTCGCAAAGTGCTCGACTACGGAGGTAGGAACTTTTTCTTTTGCTTTTCTAGGGCATGACTGCTTTCTTAATATAACCCTGGAACCATCAAGATTACTGCATGTTAGATGAGCGAGTGCTGTTCAGCTATGGTAAATATGCTACCAGAAGCTGGTGGTGAGCTGGCGTGGATTGGTGTTTTGGTAGTGTAAATGATAGTACCCTTGTTCGAAAAACAAGAGATGGGTGTTCGAGTCCTACGTGGAGCGGAGTTTTGCTGATAACTCCGTATTCATGTGATAACTGCGCGAAAATTTCTCTGGCATCCATTTTTAGCGTACATACTCGCATGTCTGGTCCATGGATTTGTAATTTCGGAACTGGTGAGGTTTCAATAACTAAGTTCGATCTTTTGACTTAAATTTTCATAGGAGACATCGAGGCAAAAACAAATGCCAAGAAGTCGGAGCGCGTTTGTGTCTATCTCTATAGGAAAAGGTGTATTTGGTATGTGATGGATCTACATAATTTTGGGCGTGGTACGAATGATAAATATGGAATCCTACCATAGGCAGTCATAGCTTTGGCGCATTTTTTTTTGATTGTTTTTTCATTTGTTGTTTTAAGTGCTTAAAAACTATTCACCATCAAAAAGCATTAGCTATGAGCTTCCAGAAAGCAAGGCTACAGCTATGCATCCGCTTAAAGGTCCCTCGAAATCGGGTTGATTTGTTCTGAAAGAAATTTAGGTAGCTTTGGTTTCTCCACTATGTGGAATGCTGTATCAATCTGTTATCTCAATAGCGAATTATATTTCCTATTTCTACAAATGTGATTACGACAAGGAACCGAATATTTGCACCAAAATTCCCTGGAGACGCAGCTGATAGTTCTGCTCGAGAATTTATTGGCGCTCATTTTAAGCAAATGCATCATTTTAAGCGACTATTTTTTCTCATCGAATTCATCGGAAAATCACAATCCTTACTGTGGAAGTTTTTGTAGAAAAATTTTCGTCCAGTCTGGGTTTGCTTATGGTCAGATGGTGCTAGAAAGAGGCGGATTGGTGATTTTCATACCATAATGATAGTCCTTTCTAGAGGAACAGTTTGTAGATTTTATAATTTCGTAATGCAAATTATGAATGAATAGTGTCAGTTACAGTGATGAAAATCATTCGGGGAAGAAATCATATCTCGTTTTATGAGACGCGCCCCTTATTTAAATTCCATAGAATCGTACGCGCAGTTGGAATGCCATTTAGAATACGGGGGGAGGGCAAAAAAAGAGTCACTTTGCCCATGGCGCATATCATCAAACTTTTCGTCGCAAAGGATGCCGCTGTTATTGGGAGTTATACGGCGAAATATTCCTTAGATGTCCCCCATAAGCAGAATCAGGCCCACCTTCGCTGCCTTCACCGTCTCCAGAATATGACGTCATCTGTCATCACCGTCGAGCTCAAGGAGGCCTACCATAATCGCTCCATTCTGAAGCTGCTACATAATTTCTTCAATCGGATAACTGGTGAATGGCTTCTTAGAGACACTAGCTCTGACTATGCAAATGGCTTTTGACCAGCGTTTCAGAGACGTCGTAATCGTCTATGGTTTCTCGACGACCTCGTTGAGCTCGTACCGTGAACCATGTTTCCGTGGGAAAATCTTCTGATGTCGTCGGTGTAGAAGGCCCCTATGTAATTTTTTGATAGAATAGAATGTGCTCTTCAATATGCAATTGAGCTCATTCGGTTTGGTTTTGGCAAAGTGTAATTAATTCTGTTTTGAATGTGAATGAGAGTGACTCTTTTTTGCCCCCTCTCTGTATGCACTGAACTACGGGGCAGCCGATGTGGAACCAGTACTTTCATAATGCCAAACAAGGCCGATACCAATTAAATGACACATCTAGGATGTAAGGTTGTTGGCGTAGATGATTTATGATCCAGGATTTGATTCCCCGATCATGCGCCTAGTAGGCTCTAAGCCCTAACCTACTCACTTTAGCCGAACAATTATAATACAACACCAAAAACTGAAATTTAGGAATAGGTGTAGCAGTGAAGCCTTCGTACTTGTACATGGGCAGACGTTGAGAGAAGGTTAATAACTCCCATTAGGGCAGGGCGACATTGAGAAAATCTTCGAGAAGAACACACTGCTAAAATATTCATTAAGCATTGCAGGGATCGTTGGTATGGAACCATCGCGTGCAAAACCTGCTATTCTCGGCTTCGTTTTGGGGTGCCATCGCCACCGTTGTGCCCTCGATTTTCCTGGTTCAACGGATGAACAAGAAACTCGTCTTTATGTTTTGCGTTCTTAATAAGGTGAGAAGTTGCACAGAATCACACCCTTCTTCAGATGCTCTCGACCAAAATAATTTTACACTTTCCCATATATCTTGATTTTTTGAACTCAACAGATCAAATCGTAAAGAGGGCTTTTCTTCAGAAAGCAAGTAAGAAAGAATACTACATACAAGTCTAAAACTACAAAATTGTTGCTCCTAGTTTGACCTGTTTTCTAAAGCCTTTCTGGAAGCCCTCACTCCTAACGGCGTTCACTAGCCTGCTTCTGAGACTTGTCCAAAGTCCTTTTGTTGCGATGACTTTCGTAGCCTTTTCGCCAAAGAACTGTGATCGCAGTCCCTTATCAGCTGATGATGTTTACACGAAACTTGCTGATATTTAAACTGCTGCTTCTGCAGATGATCTTTCTACCACGACCATTTGACTATAAAGGCAACGTGGCAGAGATGGCGTTCTATTAGCTGGCTACAAATCGCGCAGTGACGCAAAGCACAAATGAAAAACTGCATTCCTACTCCTCACCAAGTGTTGGGCAACTTTGTGCTTGGTTGCCGCTTTTGCATTTGTGAAATTTGGTTGGTATTTTCGAACATTTGTGCTACTGAGGAATCGTCCACTTGATTTCTTTTAACTTCCTGAATGGTATGCCCTAGAGGTAGATGCAATCGAAAACCGCAGAATTTTGACTTTCCTTCCACCGCACACGTCATCCCTCCTTATTCAAGCGCTCGTGTAAACGTAGTAGGTGGCAGATCTCAATTCTATTCTGGAATTACTTTGAGATAAGAGTTACAAACTTTCCTGAAGTTTGTTTGTTCCATCAAGCTACTATGCGTTTTTAACGACACAATGTCTTGGTCCTCATAATTTTGGCCCACCATGTACAAAATTTAAGGGCGAAGTAACTTTCACATGATATCTCACTGCTAGCTAACCTAGGTCGATCAAATTTGGCACATACATAGAAGTAAATGTTGCGGTACAGTGCAGAGAGTTACTAACAGAAAAGCGCAAAGGGGCGATTGGAAAAGACATTTTTCTGCAAATACCCTGTCTGAAGCGGTCGATAGGTGAGGCTTCTCCAACTCATGGTAGACATTCAAAAGAGAGGAGCTGGTTCTTGATGGGGTGTACGAACACTACGGAGTGCGAAGCATGCTTTGATGTTCATGACTGTAAGACTTTTAGCATCATGCTTGCCCAGTTCCAATTCCATCGAATTGTTAATAAGTTATGCCAATTTATCCATCTCATCCTTAAGTTTTGCACACCAGTGTATTATCGCCGTAATAACGAACATACTAACGAAAGGGAGCCTCATGAACATAGGAAATTGAAGTAAAACTGGAATAACTGATAATGTAGAAGAATGCACCAAATCATAGTGCATGTGGTATGGCACCAAATGCTATAAGGCGTCTTTATTTCGTAAATTAGTGCAGTGCGAGAGAGAAAATCGAGAGTGATAGAGAGGATATAATCCTTCTATTTAAACCGCTAACTTTGTGTGTCGGTTTGTATATCTGTATGTGTGTATGTATGTATGTATGTATGTATGTATGTATGTGTGTCCGTCCGCAAAATGAAGTGAGTGAGAAGGAAGCTCATGGGATAAACAAACCGCTAACAAATCGGTAGCTTACAGGATTTGAGATATCAATGTTTTGTAGCAGGATAGTTGTGATAACACTCTAGGGCTATATAAACACCTGCTTAGCACACTTCCGTTCATTCCACATGGTGCTGCAGTGGCAGCTGGAGGGCAGTGGAGAGAGGAAGGGAGGATGGGAGGGGAGGTGGAAAATCTACCGTCATGCCATGATTATGGCGACCTTTCCACTACATGAAACACCTTTGTGTTGCATACGCGTCACCTTCCACAAGGTGTTGGTGTCACAGGAGGAAGGGACCATAGCGGAAGACGAAAGCTTGCGCAGGAAAGGAAGGTCCCGGCGGTTGACGGGGGACCAATCTGGTGGAAGAAATTAGGGAATGAAATGAAGCTGAGTATCATATGAATAATGCTTGCTTTTGGGACTCCATTTATTGACATATGCAATCGGTTTCTCACTCAAGCTGAACGATTTTGATCACCGTCGTGACACTCCTTTCTGCTGGCTGCTCCCGTCTAGGTTTGTTATGGTAGTAGCCTCCATTCCTTTAAGTTCATGCTCATTTTTTACTTCTACACAGCGCTCGTAGATACGTTTCGATGGCGCACATACCGCCTTGTTATGTATATAGGATGCGCAGTGAATGCGTTCTTAGGCTCCCAATAATTTATGGTGTCGTGTCTGACATCCAAACAATATTCTCAGCGAAAAGTAATCTCGTCCGTGTGATTCGCCGTGATAGTAATATTGTATTCTTCATTAGTCGTGAATGCTAGCCAGACAGTTTTCCTTACCATAATCTTGCTTATCAGTGATCAGTGAAATTGGACCATCCGCTGATGAAAGAGCAGTTCACAGTTCACAGTTTATCTCCATGAATCATTTCCTTGCGTCATTACACCACTGTGACCCAAGATCATTGCACTTTAATAAGCTGAGTGAAAAAGAGAATAAGGGTAATGAGAAAGTCTTGAGTTTGACATTTTTTCCACTTTATTTCTTCAATTCAGTGGAATTTACTAAACACTATAGTCACCATCAGTGTTCCACCAATCGGTAATCCCCTTCTACCAGAAGTGGGGAGAACGGGAGTCAAAGAAAAACGACCGAGACAAGCTTCTGTCCACCTATTCCATGATAACACCAGGCCCAAATTACCTAAAGATCCCAAAATGCTCTACAAAATCGAAAAAAAATTGGACTGGGATACGGTTTCCAAACAACACTATTCCCCTGACATTGCGTTGGCTGACTGAGCAAGACTTCGAAATCACTCCGCCCCGAAGCGATCCGCCCACCATCTACCTGTCGATTTGGACGAGCGTGTGGTCAGCAGCGGTGTCCCTCTCTGCGTTTTCTCGAGGGATTTTCCGCTTTTTCACCACTGGCGTACCATCGAGCACCACCACGTCACACTAAACCCTTCTTGGATTTTTCGTAATCGTTGCCTTTAAGGCATTCATAGCGAAGAAAAAATTCACCAAAGTTGAAGACGTTGAAAGAGCGGTCAGCGATTTCTTTGACTCTCAGTCTGCTCAGTTCTGGGAGAAGGGGGTCGCTGACCTGCCCATTAGGTGGGACTCTGTAGTGAGTAACAATGGTGATTATATTGTTGAGTAAATTCCATTGTACGCGGAATAAAAAAGTAAAGCAGAAAAAAGTGTCAAACGGCTCAAGGACTTTCTTATCCATCCTAATAGAAGGTAGGAGGATGCAGGGGTGTCCGGACTGAACGCATCTCTGAATGCCCTAATATAAATTTAGAACACCTGCGATACTTCCAGAAGGAAATAATTCTATGAATTCATACGGATTGTAAGTCATATAACGAATTTATAACGGCCTCATTTTCGGCGGTGGTAAACGCTCTGCTTCCCTACCTGGCCATCCATCATGGAGTGAACGCTGTCTTTATAGCACGATTCATTCTAGGAGCTGGAGAGGTACGTTTTGAAATTTCATCGCTTTCATTTCTGTTGGAGCCAGAATGTCGTAGTGGTGTTTTTCTTCCCTAAATCGTGAACTCCAGTGATCTTTTAGTAAAGGCATAGCTAATCTTGCAGTCAGAACATGAGGGTACACCGTTCGATAAAACAAGAGGTGCGAAAAGGACTGCCGATGAGGAAATAAAGCTCATGGAACCATGATAAGACAGCAAAATTTTGAGCATTTCTTCTGAAAGATCGACCGTGACATGACGGATGGCAATAGGCGAGGGTGCTCGCAAACACCGCGTATGCTGGAAATGATAAGAATGGCAGCGATCGCAGCAGTCAAGAGAAGGCCTACATTTAGCGCCTTCAACACGCACCTTCACTCTGTGACTGAGCGGCGACTCCTGCGCTTGAGACCCCTGTTACGTCACTCCCGAAGAGATGCTTTGAGGCTCTATTTGCGGGCTACGCCTTAGGCACGTGTAGCATGGATCCAGAATACTCCCCTCTACTGAGGCAGCAGGACCTCCAATCACAAGTGTGGCGACACTGTACCGGCTTCAGGGTACGAAATAAGGGAGCTAAAGCCTTTATCTGACCATTGCGACCGCTGCCGTCTTTATCAATCGCGGTAAAGTGGCGCCTGCACCCTCTTTGTGAAGCATACTCCCGCTTTTTCTTCTCCTCGCTGTGCTGGGTCTACTCGCCTTGCCACGGTTGACCTCGGAAGAAAACCTCAGTGCTTCGTATAGCTCTTTTGGTTTTTTTTCAGTGACTCCCTCACCGTTCTCTTTTGCATGATTTTGAAAAAAAAAATTACACATCGATTCGATCGCAATCCTCACTCAAATACCTTTGTGCCACTGGATAAACAGCAGCCGTTCCCTTGTTGGGATTCCACTTAGGACTATGTTGCCATTTTAGTCCTTTATCTATCCTTGCATCAACACAATCGTCACCAACTGGTTTCCGATAGATGAACGGAGCACCGCAGTCGCGCTTTTCACTACAGGTTCACAGCTTTCCATTCCACCTCATACTTCCTAAGGTCAAAAGGCGATTTCAGGAAATCAGGTCGCTCTATTTCTTGGGAACCCTCTTGCAGCTACACTGTGTGACTCTACCTATGGATGGCCAGCTGTTTACTACATTTCCGGTTCGCTGCTTTCAGTTTACTAGTCGTTTTAATTTTATGGTCTAAACCCTTATGCTCCGATAGCAACTTACAAAAAACACAGGCTACTAAATGCCTCTTGATCAACCATGCAGGATATTCCGCTAGTCCTCTCAAAGACAGATCTCTTTGCAAGTTCATTGTCACCCGTGAGTGGTATCTGAGTTGTAGAGGTAGCTCCACCTTCGTCTGCGTTTCGCTCATCCTGTTCTTTAATCTACGATCTACTTCTACCTCGATGCTCATTGTCTCTATAGAAAGGCTGTTTACTACGTAGACCGCTTCTCCGCCCAAAATAAGGCGGTCACTATTTTTCGGTGCTTTGAATAAACCCATTATCCTGCTTCTGTTTTCATGGAATGCTCCTCTAGCCCTGTTCAACAGCTTTGATGAATTGCCTCACTATTCCATCATTATTGATATGAGTATTTGAATACCATATTTGCTAAGGTGCCTTGATGTACAATGGTGTGCAAAACTTAAGGACGGAAGTAACTTTCACATGATATCTCACTGCTAGCTTAACCTAGGTGGACCAAATTTGGCACATATATAGAAGTAAATGTTGCGGTACAGTGCAGAGAGTTACTAACAGAAAAGCGCAAAGGGGCGATTGGAAAAGACATTTTTCTGCAAATACCCTGTCTGAAGCGGTCGATAGGTGAGGCTTCTCCAACTCATGGTAGACATTCAAAAGAGAGGAGCTGGTTCTTGATGGGGTGTATGAACACTACGGACTGCAAGTATGCTCTGCTACGTGCTCCCATACTGGCCACAAGGTTATTAAGAGTTTTGTGGAGAAGCGATCCATTCCTTGAAGACCGCGACTGACAACTGCTGAACGGTTGTTGGCCATGGGGATGCGCTACGATCTTTCTCCTGAGTGCATGTCACACGTGCTCGATTCGAAAGGGCCAAGTGGAGAGACTCACCATTCGCTAAAGATCTCACCTCCCAAGACTTTTTCACCTAGTTTGCTCGATGCGCTCGCACACTACTTTTCATATAAAGGGAGTTAGGATCAAACGCAATCCTGGAGAGATGCACATAAAAGAGCACAACAGCGTCACAATAGGATTAGAAAGTGTACTGGAGGTCAGTACGCCCCGAACGTTATGCCTCCCCACATCATGTCGCATGACTACCAAAACAATCATGTTAAACGATGGTCCTGGGTAGATTACACGTTCCTATTTTCCCCATATGCAGGTAAGTCCAGAATCACTACTCACATTCAGTTTGCTCTTGACCGAGAAGAACACGCGATCACCAAATTGGTGGTCCATTCCCAATGTCTCGGCACCTAGCAAATGTTCCCGCCGATGCGCGGGTTTCGAAGGAACACAGGTACTGTTGGTCGGTAGAGAGATCATCCCTATGCGGTCACTGTGCCACTGTTCCGGCTGGGATTACATGCCTTACAATCCTGATAAATGTTTTTGCAACTGCAGCATGTGACTGACGTGGGTCCATTTTTGCCTGTGCAAAACTTAGCAATCACCTGCTGTTGCGACGTAATGATCCACCACCTCCTCTTCTGAGGCAGCAGTGGCTCCCATGCGCACAAAACAATGGTGTGAGCAACATCAAACTCCTGGACCACACTCGTTACAAATCTTCCTTCTTCCAGTTTCCCGGTGATTCTTCCTCGCGTGAAGTCACCCTAGTGTTGTCTCTGAGACTTGCTGTAATCAAGAACACCACTACATTCCACAGTAACTTCTCCCTGCTCGTACACTCCCTCTTGTTCCTGCTCCACCAGGCCCCTTGTTCGGCGTTTGTCGCTTTGGATCCAGCTTGCGACGGATCACATGTTTTATGAGGTCCAGTACAGTGTGCGTGACTCGAAGACCTTTAGCATCATGCTCGCGCAGTTTCACCCAATTCCACTGAATTGTTAATAAGTTATGTCACTTTATCCATCTCGTCCTTAAGTTTTGCACACCTGTGTCGTTAGATTAACCGCTTGCCTTGTACTGGTGTGCTAAATCGTAAATCACCAAGGATAATCTGAATTTCCACTCCTTCGCCATCGGTTTGCTGCTCCTGACGCACTCTCACGTATGCGAATGTAAAATGGAACAGTATGCACGTTTCGGTAAACAACTGGAGTAAGCATTATAATAAAAAGAGACTCAGAGATGTTCACATCAATTTCAAAAAAGGAGTTCTATCTCATTAATAGCGTAACCGGTCTAACCAGCTGTGAGAAATTCGCAGATGGCTTTTCCAGATCAGCCAACCTGGGTACAAAGAACTTCAATGGAAATGTTTTTTTTTCAGCTGCAATGGGTGCCACTTGGTGTGTGCTGTGGATGCTGTTCAGTTCAACTTCTCCAGATGAGTGCCGTGTGATGAACATGGACGAGAGGAAATTTCTTAAAAAGTCCGCAGGTGTATCGAAGGAAGCTGGGCAAGCGGTATTTGCTGTCTTTGCTGGTTTCACTAAAACATTTCAACCAATTAGTAATAATATTACTTAGTAATAAAACAATTAAAAACAATTAAAACAATTTCTGGACATCGCTGCCTAGTAAGAAAAAAATTTTGGGGGTCAATGAGCTGGGTACCGATTGGTATTAAGACGGGGAAAATAAATTGTTTAAGCACTAAAAGTATTCTGCACAAGAACGAACGTTCTAAAGGTGCTTTCTGCGACCCCAAAGTGTTGTTAGTGTGCACTAACGATAAGAGGAAACTAGGGCGATATCGATCGTCGATGATAGAAAATCTATTGAAAACACTAGTTGCAAGGGCCCATTTTCATGGGCGATAGTGAATCTTCAGAAAGGTAGTACCTTCCCTAGACGATCTGTTAAGGCTGCTTTCATAGTTCGCATCGGTGCGGTCGGTGCCGACGGGCCGACGCCGACCGCACCGACAGTGTGAAGAGCGTCAACACGCGCTCTGGCGCATGACGCGTGCGCTGGGCGCAGATGGGGCGCTCCGGTCGATAATCTTGGTTTTGAGGTATTTCTTGTATTTTTTCGATGTTTTTTGCACTCACTTCATCTGAATAACAAAATTGCTTACGATCAACACACCCGGTATGGCCACATCCACCCGGAGTTGTGCGACGGGTTCACGACGTCGCTCGCCCCCGCGGAACAACTGGAAAGTATTAATAAAGTCATAAAAGGGCGCAATGTGGCTCGGAGGGGGGGGGACAGCCGTCGCGCGGGGCGTTGTGGCAACAGGAAACTCGCAAGCCAGGGGGTGTGGCCAATTCAAGGGGGGGGGGGTGAGGGCAGTCACTTAGCATGCGTGAGAAGCTGAAATGTCCCGTGAAAAGCTGGAATGTTCGAGTTACACTACATCGCTGAGCCGCGCACCGACTTCCCCCCCCCCCCCCGAGCCACATTGCGCCCATAAAAGAATAAGTATGAACAGGAAACACACGAATTAAAGCAAAAAAACGCGCGCGAAAAAACATCGAAAAGCACAAGAAATACACCAAAACCAGGATTATCGATCGGAGCACGCGATCTGCGCCCAACGTTCGCGTCATGCGCCAGAGTGCGTATTGACGCTCTTCACACTGTCGGTGCGGTCGGCGCCGTCGGCGCCGTCGGCACCGACCGCACCGATGCGAACTATGAAAGCAGCCTAAGAGCACGCAGTCGGGGAAAAACGGGAGAATAGGGACTCGATGAAGAGAGAGCATATTTAAGGGCTGAGTTGACGGCCTACCCACGAAGAGATTGATTCTGCTGAACGTCATGAGCATGACTTCAAAGGCAGCGATTACGATATGTTCAAGAAGGGGTTTAGATAGGGATTGTCATGGACTGGTTCTCCGATGAGTACGGCCAGTGTGCATAAAAAAGCGGCGAAATCTGTCAGAAGAACGCAAAAATGAGACCCCGTTTTTTGGCCTTCGGTTTTCACTCATGAACAGGTGATAGCTCAGAAAGCGGGAGTACGAACGAGTTCAGCGCAGCGCGTTTGGTAACACCGTGCCAAACCCCATTCCAATTTGAGTTGCTCCAGTTTGAACCGCTGCCTGGCAACGCTGCTCATCCAAATCACCAACAGAACAAGTGGGCGGATTGCTTTTGGGGGTGAAGTGCTTTCGAAGGCCTGCTCAGCAATCAGTGAACCTTTCGTCGTGAGAGCGCTACACCTCGCTTATCTGGCAGCCAAGTAAGGACTGATTCGATGTGATGATAGTGGTTCCGGTGGGCGCACTCTCGTTTTATGCGTTAGGAAGTCGTTGCTGTAACTAGGTGAGAGGCTCAACTAAAGCTAGAACTGCACAGCTCGTGGCCGTGCCGAAACCGCTCTCGCCAAACGGTATCGCTTTAAGACGCCTGTAGGACAGCAAGTCGCACCTGAACCCATCGCACAACACTGAATTTTGATTTGCCCCATTGGTCCCACGCAAGCATGACCCATAGGAATTGCTTATGGTCTCGAAAGTAATCCCTGTAATCCCCATTATAATGTATTCGTTTCAATGAAAGACTATTTTACTGGCGGTTATGCTTTTAGTTTTGGTTTGTCTTGTTTGGGAGTTTAGCATTACTCCTTTTAAGCGCTCTCCCCCCCTGTTTATTGGAAGAAATCATCAAATCGTGATTTATGGCTCGTTCTCTTTCATTGGAATCCACTATGTAGCCACAGTCATGATGGTTTACCTGCCTACCTACTACAAGGATGTTGTGCTTCTGCTGGGCGTCATTATGGTACGCTAGCATGATCACTGGTTGATACGAGGAATGAATTGCATGGGAGCTGATTAGTAACTTTGATATAGTATATGGATAGCAGAGGCAGCCGGGTCGGGATCGAGTTGGTGTATTTAGTTAGGAAATTAGACAGGAAAAGCAATGTGGAGCATAGTGGGGGAGAAAAAGCAAAGCGCTAAAGAAATGACGAGTATGCCACCACTGATGAGGATGGCAGCTCTGCCAGCGGACAAGACAGCTCTGGCCTTAGCGTCCTTACAAGTAAGGACAGCGTACTACTCCTGTGATCGTTTTTTGCTTTGTCGGGTTTAGCTGTTCATTCGAGGGAGATCTTGATGTCCCGGCCAGTGGCGTTGAGTTCAATTCTGAGGAGATTGAGATATTTAATTTAAAGAGGGCTGTGCGGTACCATTAGGGTTACATTAGTGTTCCTAATCTCTCACATAAAGAAGTGTTTTTTTGGGAGAAATTCGTCACCAAAAGAAGCGGTCCCAGCAGAGTTCTCCCGTTCGGCATTAATGGTGTGGAACGATGCGCTAGCCCTAGTTAAGAACATGGGAAAGTGATGAACAAGAAGCTCACCTTGGAAAGTTGCTAGAAATGGAGCTAAGCGTCTTCGAAGTGGGCGTGGCGTCCGATGCGTCACGAGCTGCATCGGCCAGTCCTTGGTGATTGCGAGCTCCGATGCGTGTAGCGGATTGCGAAAGTGATGAACAAAATGAATGCTTCCTCTTTTTTGGCTGGTTTTTACTCGCTTAAGTAATTGTTTGTACTGATGCATATGTCTCTGCTTGTATTGGTGCATATGCGATTGCGACCGCTCAGTCAGGAAGGAGTGCCGGCAGTGCCGCAAGGTAGTTGGGCCAGCTGTAAATGCCGCCTCTTCATTGTAATGGGTGGAAATGGAGAGAGTCGTTCAAAGGCTTCGTCAGCGGTGTCTTCGCTTTTTCTACATTAACAATCAATCGTAGCTACAGTTGCATTACTGTCATTTCTACCAGCCATCATATGTGCTTTAAGAGGGGATTTGGGTCTTTGTCGAGAGGTCTCATGGCGTTTTTTCGTGAAAGAGTTTAAGAACGATATAGGATCAAGGTGGCAACTCCGTTGTGAGATAGACAGGGTATAGAAGTGGTGAGGGAATGGAGAAACAATTTGTAATGGATTGGATTTTTGCGATCGTAGGTAACAAATGCCATGATCGCATGAATTTGTTTCCGTAGTCGATATTGTTCGAGCTTATGCGATTAAAAAAATGTTCGAATAGTATTGTAGTAAAAGAGTCCACAGCGCCAAAAATTTGTTGTATTAGAGGACCATCAAAAAAGTAAGAAAATAGTCAGGTTAGGTAAGAACATCGAAACTAGAAATATTGAGGTGGAGGGAAAAAGAAAAATTTCGACTTACTCTTCCATAAAATTCCATTTCTTATCAACAGGCAATATCGTTCTTTTCCTTTCTCAGACGCCGGAGAAAAACGACATTCACACTGGATTGCTCCACTGGACCTTGCATATCATGGAGTTATGCTGAGGAGAAGTGGGATCCCTAAGACCGATGATGTGGTGGGTTTTGATTGGACGCTGCCTCCCCGACCTCAGGCATGTTGGTGTTGACGCCAGAAAACCAGTGGAATTGGCACTCAGTTGACGTTACTACTATTTTTGACTGCTATGTGTGGGTCCCGGAGTCTATGTTTCCAAGCTGTTCCACGAAGCCTTTACGATGTGGACTTCTCTTGTGTTTGTGTTAAGATGTATACAATAGACTGATTGCCTACATTCGCTTGGAACTTTCGATGAAGATAGAGTCGGGCATAATTTCCGAATTAAAAATCAAGGAGCAAACACAAGTAATCGGGAAACAGCCATATCGCGCTTCTACCTGACAACGGATCGAGTTTATCGGAAGGCACAGGACGACCTCTACTCTGATGGTCTGAGAGTGGCATGCCTTACACCCGAGCATGTGCTAGACCTTGTGGCATCCTAAATTTTTGTTTATTGGTCGAGCAAATGATCACCGCTGTTTTTTTTTCAGGTCATTGCCTCTTTGATTTTTTTTGATGATTAATATTTCCAGGAAGATATGATGTAGCTGAGAGCGTTCCCATCTCGTAGAATAGTGTATTTTGATGTGCAAATTTTCGTACCGAATCGCTTCATCGTTACATAACCAGCAAAAAGATTGCCCTGCTACATGGAGTGCAAGTGGACTCGAAACGAATGTACTGTATGTTGGCTTGCTGAGATTGACATACGGTTGTAGAGGCATGTGTAGAGACGATTGGTTGATTACGCATTTCATTGTTGTTTTTGTTGATTTGGTTGTAGTAAATTATGAGTGATATTGGAAACGGGTAATTTTGTTTAACCTAAGATTTTTAAGAAATTTTAGGGACAAAAGAGTAATGCATAATTTAAGAATGGAATGTATTCATCGCTGCCAATGATGTTCAACTTCGTCTTCAAACTCTCATGGGGAGTTCTTGTCGATAGGCTGAAGAGAAGGAGAATCCTCACACCAACCCAGGGAGTGAAAATCTCGCAGTGTTTCCGTGAGTGAAATTTTCGTTAGGAATTCTCCGTAGAGTACTTTGAACGAAGATTATTTAGCAAGTTCGGTGTTGCTACGGGATAATAACGTAGGCGGCTGCTCGGCATTGTCGCGACAGTGCTCAACGCTGGCTTCTTGTGATGCATAATATGTGCTTGGAGCGCACACGAGGTTTTTATTTCCTTACTTCGACCTCACATGATGTTTTGTATTGAATCTAACATCAGAATTTAAAAGAAGTTTTTCCTTTACGCCAGTGGTATCACTATTCACTGAGCGTTCACATCCACTACGGGTCAACCGTAGGTGTCTGCTCGATTCCAGATTACGACTCCCGGCCCTATCCCATTTCCTTTCGCTAATTAGTTTGATACCAAGCTCGGTCAACATGATTACACTTCTGAGTCTGCCCCAGAATCTCAAAAATATTCGGTACATTGAAGGCATAGTTCGGGATTTCTGGTCGAAATTGAACGTCTTCCCGCGAAAAGTATAGCGGTGGGCAAGCCCGAAAGATGTACACATTTTCTGAAATTTGAAGAGCGAGGATTAGGTGCAGGATTGGACATCCAAATCACTGTTCGTTTTTCTGTGCTGCTACAGGGAGAGAGGGCTTTGATTTCGGCCTGGTGACGGTCTTAATCTGGTCGCGGACGGCCTTGCCATACATTTTTCCTGTTGAGTAACGTTAGGGGAAAGTTGGCATCTTTCCCGAGACGCGCTCTTGTCCCAGGTGCGACGATCTTATTTCCGGATCCCCTTTTCTCAATTAGAAGGTGCCTGTCCTAGCGGGTCATCCCGGGGTCCGTGCCGTTTTCCCCACGACACGACCCTTGTGCACTAGCGCTCCCTGACCACTGCTTCCACCATACTTATTGAAGTTCCTCTTCCTGAACATTTCATCGTCCCATCATATGCTACCGGCGTCGGATCTGACCATGTCCTCGGAGGGGTCCTTGCGGTAATCCTACACGCACTCTGCCTCCTCCCTCAGATGTTATTAAGGGCCCTACAGCCGATCACACCATCGGGCCTAAGCGAGGCGAACCTCGATAGGGACGCATGGTGTGAACTTACCGATGCTCCGCCAAGGGAGACTACCGTGCGCCCGACCGCACGGCAGCAATGCGCCCATGAAGTGCTCTGCGCACTTCATGTGTCGCCCTTGGCCTCCTGGCGGCCGTAGCCTGAGGCTCCCCCTCACGGAGAGGAAGTACGCCTCAACCGGCAGAGGGAACGCATGGCGACTGGCCTCGGCTGGGGACAGGGTCACCCCCCCCCCCAGTGGTGTATACAGTGCACTTCAATACTATATATTAAGAAGTCATCTTCAAATTCTATACTCTATTCTGAAAACAAGCAGCCAACCGACAGTTCTAATAGCATCAGCCAGCTTCCTTCAGAAAATGCTCGTTTCGTCATTGGCATCTGGTTTTTGTACCGTTCCATAATCATAAGTCACTCTGAAAAGAACCATTCTATGAGGTGCGAAAAACTGTTTATCGAAGGGAATATTTTTCACAAGCACATCCTTCACCAACAATTTCTTAAAGGACGAATTCACGCTGGAAAGGCAACCCATTTCAAATTAACTTAGGGATGGTGAGTGGTACACGAAAGAAGGAAGAACCATGAGAAACGGCCCAGAACCCGAGAAATGGGACCCCTTCCTTGCCCGTTGATTTGAGCATTGATGCGACTCTCATCGCTGTGCCCTCTTCAACACTACGCTCTCTCAGCTATCTAATCACTCGCCACGTATAGACTGCGGCGAGTGATCAGATGGTCGGTGGGCGGAGATCGCCGGACCCGCCAACTTTGAGGCATGATAGGTCGCCGAGGTCAAATTTTTCCATGCGAATTGCGCGTCAGTTCGCACCCTCAGGAGGTCCGTGGGTCCCTCAACTAGGTCAATTACTTCTTCTTCGACCTTCATTCTAATCGTGAATTCCTCCTTTAAGCAGTAGTGTCAAGGTCTGAATGAAAAGTCAGGTTCACGCGTAGAGCTAAAAGCGATTGCGAAAAAGGCACCATTTATGAATATTTCGAAATCTCCCATGATTGCTCATCTTTCCGCAATTTGCCATTTGACCTACGACAATGAACGAACCAGCAACCAGCTAAGGGTCGTTTGCACGCGCTAACCCGATAGCCACCATCCTACCGACAACACTATGCTTTGATTGATAACGCTCCCCCAAAAAGGTTATAGAACACAGCTGCTCGAGGGGAGTAGCCATTCAAATCAAGCGATGCCGGTAATTCACCTTGTTCACACTTCTAAAAATTTCGCGATCCCTCCTCGAGAGGGTTCTAATATGATCCCTCACAAGCACCGTCAGCCTTAGGAGATTCTTACCATATGACCCCTTATCTTCTCCGAATACCGCCCGCTCTCACCATCATGTCTGTTTCTGAGACCTGTTGACACGGCCCAACTCCGCCCACTTTGAGCGGAGTAAATATGCCTGATGGAACCACCAATTCTCTAATGTCGACCTCATGCTTACTTTCTCGCATTCCCAGAAAGAAGAAAACAGACTAAAAAACCAACAGAGAACCGGCTAAAAATGGCTCCGCTCTCCGCCATCACAATTGATCCACTTTCCAAAAACATGACCCTCCTTCTTCCAGTCTTTTGACCTTCCTAAACCCTAATACGGCCCACCGTCTGAAACCCCGTCCCCGCGCTCTCTCCCGCTCCTCCCACTGTATA